GGAAGGTGTCCATTTTTTATTTTTGGAAGATGTCTATTTTTGTGCACTGCTCTTCCTAGTGGTCTGAACAGTACCTGCCACATAGTAGTCAGTCAATAAATATTGCATGAACAAATGAATGGGTTTTCCTATTTGTTGATGGGAGGGTCATGCCAGCAATTTTAGACTATTTCCTGAAGATGAATATAGAAAAGGTTTGTTACAGAGATCCAGTAGTAAAACATTGGACATGTGCTAACTTTATTATATTTATTGTATAGTAACGTAAGGACTAAGACATGTCCCCCAAATGAACAATAGGAGGTGGTTACTTTGACAAGTTTCATCGGACACCACATTGCAGTGTCTGAGTGAAGGAGATCCAAAGAGTAGCTTGGATGACTTTTTCAAGCGTGTGTCAAAAAACATCAAAACCATAAGGTAGGACTTCCCTGGTGGCACAGTGGTTAAGAATCTGCCTGCCAGTGCAGGGGACACGGGTTTGATCCCTGGTACAGGAAGATCCCACATGCCATGGAGCAACTAAGCCTGTGTGCCATAACTACTAAGCCTGCACTCTAGAGCCTGCGAGTCATAACTACTGAGCCCGTGTGCCGCAACTACTGAAGCCCACGGCCTAGAGCCTGAGCTCTGCAACAAGAGAAGCCACTGCAATGAGAAGCCTGCACACTGCAATGAAGAGTAGCCCCTGCTTGCCGCAACTACAAAAAGCCCACGCGCGCAGCAACGAAGACCCAACGCAGCCAAAAATATATTAAATAAATAAAACAAAAACAAACAAAATAAAGATTCAGGGAAAACACTTGCTGTTAATATGTTAAAAGATTTAATATTTTTATGTAGGTGTATATATAAGTACAATGTAAACATTTACACATATATGTTAAATATGTATAATATACACATGCAGGGGGGGTGTGTGTGTGTATGTATACGTATATATACAGAGAGAGAGTTGAAATAATTTTGTCCTTTAAAAAAATGTTGTTAATTTAGTAAGCCTCAGGTAACTTGGCAAAATTGCATTGTGGATAAATTGAGATGGAAATTAAAAAGTAGGTTTTTCTTTTTCTTTTTTTTTTAACTTGTATGCTCTTCACCCAGATTCCCTATTGTAATATCTTACATTATCACAGTATGATTATGAACATGAGGAAATTAGCATCAATATAATTCTGTTATACTTTGATGAGGACATGGAAAGAGTGACTTCAGACAACTCTAAAGAATATATGTCAAAAACCTAAAAAAAAGGAAGGTTCAGATTTCACCATTGTCTTATTAACATCCCTTTTCTGTCTTATTAACATCCCTTTTCTGTCTTATTAACATCCCTTTTCTGCCTCAAGATTCAATCCATGTCATATATTTAGTTGTACCTCCTTAGTCCTCTTTAAACAATTCCTCAGAATTTCTTTGCCTTTCATGATCTTGATACTTTTTGACGAGTATTCTGGTTAGTTATTTTATCAGATGGCACTCAATTTCTGTTTGTCTGTTACTTCCCATAATTATGCATTTTTAATAAGAACTCTATAGAAGTGATGTAACCTCAGTGCATCATACCAGGAGGCATGGGATGTCAATTTGTCTCTTTATTGGTGATTGTAACTGATTACTTGGTCAAGGGGGTATCTGCCAGGTTTGTCTCTTGTAAATTTACAATTTTCTCCTTTGTAATTAATAATTATCTTTTGGAAAGATACTTCGAAACTATATAAATTTCTCATTCTGCCCACAAATTTTACAATCTTGATGATTCTTGCCTGAAATACTTATTTCTCTGGTATCTGTCAAATGGTAATTTTCTATTTCCATCATCCCTAGTATATTTATTTATTGGAATTCTACTGTAAGGGAAGAGCTTTCCTTTCATCCTCATTTCTATATTCAATTGTTTATATCAGTATAGACTAATGAGTATATATTTTATTCTATGAGTTATAATCTGTTACTATCATTATTTTGTTGCACAAATCCTAGGTTTAGCCATTGGGAGTCCCTTCAAGTTGGCTCTTGTGCCTTCCCCTTTTTAAATGTATTTTATTATTGTGTGAATACTGGTTAATATTGGCAGTGCACTTTTGCATTTACAAGGTCTCTGGATGGAAATCAGTGCCAGCTGTGGCAACTCTGTTACTCAGTAAACAGTTTGAGCCTTGGTATCCTCCTCAGAAAATGGGGACACTAATACTTCCCTCAGAGGAGCAGAGTTGGGGTGAAATGATATGGTGGCTGTGGGGAAACCATAGTGGGCACTAAATACATATCTCTCTTTTACAGTACTTGAAATGCATGTATTCACTATCTTTCAGATAGGTAGATGGATAGCTAGACAGATAACTATTAGTGATCTCTCAATACCTGAAGTTGATTGAGGAAAACACTCTAGGAAGATCAGTTTTCAAGAATTTCAGCTGTTGAATTATCTGGAGTCCACAGACCTAAATAGTAATACCATAACACCTTATATTTGTTGATTGCTGTATCTTGTATTCTAATGATATGACCCTGTGATAGGCAGAGATGGGCCCCAAGATTCCCAGACCCTGTTGTTAACATCCAGTTATTTGATCAAACACTAATTTAGGTACTACTTGAATACCTTTGCAAATATAATTAAGGTCTCAAAACAGTTGACCTCAAGATAGATGAGTTGGTGGGCCTGATCTAATCATACAGGCCCTTTAAATATGGGTGGAGAGGCTAGAGAGAGAGGAGGTCAGAGAGATACAAAGTGTAGGAGGGATTCAATATGAGAGTAATTTTCCTCTGGCTTTGAAGATGGAGGGAGCACGTGTGACAAGAACCTGAGAGCAACCACCAGAGGCTGAAGGCCTAAGTCCTGGTGGCAACCCAGAAAGAAAATGGGACCCCAGTCCTACAACCTCAAGGATCAACTCAGCCAACATCCTGAATGAACTTGGAAGTGGATTCTTCCCCAGAACCTTCAGAAGGAACATAGCCTGGCTGACACCTTGATTTCAGCTTAATGATACTCTCAACAGAGAATGTTACATGTCAAGCTGGACTTCTGACATTTAGAAGTGAGTTAATAAATTGATAAATTTTGTTCTGTTTTTCTAGGCTGCTTAGTTTGTGGCAATTTATTATGCAGCAACAGACAGCTAATACAGACCCCATCACTTTTTAACACTTCCTTAGCTTCTCACACAAGATGTTTGGCACAGATGTTTCTCTTGTAATTTCTCTACCCTAGTCCTGAAATTATTTCTCCAAAAAGCCCTGATTCCTTTATTAGAGAATGGTATTTAGAAATGAAGAGCTCAGTGCAAGATCTGCTCATTGGTATTGGGTATCATTGCTTCTAGGTCCTCTCAGCTGACAGAACAATAAAATGTATTTTGTGTATACAACTAATGTATATCTATATGTATCTGTATATTGTGTCTATATCTGTATATACATATTTTAATTATTTATTTTTATTTTTGGCTGTGTGACTTGTGGGATCTTAGTTCCCCACAAGGGATCGAACCCATGCCCCCTGCAGTGCAACCATGGAGTCCTAGCCACTGGACCGCCAGGGAATTCCTATACATATTTTTAAGCGGATTTTTAAAACATTTAAAAATATTTAAAAACACTTGAATTCATACTGATAAACATGACAGGGTTCATTTTATCTTCCCACCTTTCCTTATTTGTAACTCCTTTCTCCAACTGTGAGAAAATGGGGCTTTTTATCCACAGTATATTTATTTACTCAGTCCTCAAATACATATAACATAGTTTGTAAACTGCTAACCCATAGTTCTGTAATAAGTAGGCGGCTAATTAGAGCAAAATATTTGTATACACTTTTCTTTTTGTCTTTATTCTTTGGATATGCAATTAAAATATTGTTTCCCAAACGTACTTCATTTGATTCTATTTTCCCATCCCTCTCTTCAAAGTGGTTATGTTAGTTATTTGTAATATAGTTGGATTCAGTTGTTTCTGTTTTGTTTTGACTTTCCGTCTATGTTCTTTTAAGTTTATAAGTTTGTAAAACATTCACATAGTTCTACAAGTCAGAACTATACAAAAATCTATCATCAGAGAAGTCATTCCTCCTAAATATTTTACCCTACTCTCACTCTCCTCTTTTTCCTACTTTGTCACTTAACCCTGTAAGTAAAAATCTCATTAATTTCTGATTTGTTCTGTTGTTTTTATTTTTATACTAGTGGGCAGGTAGACATGTAATTTCTTCTTTATTTATATATATAATTCATACAAATTTATTATAAAACTATGATTCTAATAAATGAGTAATGGACATGCATTAAACTACAAAAAATAGTTTACAAAAGAAAAAATATACACGAGTATAAAAAATAAGCATTTCTAATCAATTGTGGTCCTAAATTTAAAACAAGATACTATTTTTTAAATTTTAAATTTTAAATTTAAATATTTAAATATTTTAAATTTAAAACAAGATAATATTTTTCTATGTAAATTGGCAAAAGTTGCAGATAATGCTTTAGTTTCAGTAACACCTTTCTGAAAAGCAATTTGATGATATGCTTTAAGAACCTTATTATAATTTGAACTGGTAATTCTATATCTAAAAATTATCCTAAAGAAATAATCAGAAAATTAGATGCACACTTATTATTTGTAGTGTTATTTGTAATAGCAAAATATTAGCAATAAACAAAAAATAGCTTTAAAGAGAATTGATGGATAATTTAAATATGTGTAATAGAGGATAATGAAATCATAAAATAGTGTTATTAAGAATTTTTAATGATATAGAAAAATGCTTAAAAATAAAAAAAGTAGGACTTTAAGAGTTGATCAGGTGGAGTAAACTCAGTACACTCTCTCTTTCCCACTAATTACAACTCAAAACTCTAGCTAAAACACACCTGTGGTCTCTGAAAACTAAATGAAAGCATTACTGGATTGGAAACAGAAGTCAAATTTGGCAAAGCAACTCATACAGCATTAAGTTTTCTGGTTTTATTTCTTACTCTTTTCCCCAGCTTTGAACCAAGAGTGAACACCCAGCAGAACTGCAGTGGCAGCATGGGCAGCCCAAATTCTGAGAGAAGCTTCACTTTTTGGGTAGAAGACCAGGAAAGGGAGCTGCTTTGAGCAGGAGAGAGAATTCTGGAGATGAGAGAGCTGGGTAAGTGATCCCATAATTCTGTATATAAACTGGCACTAATCCTGGGCTCATCCTTAAGGTACACATGCATGGCACAGATTGAAAGCTATATAACAAAGGCTTTGAGAACTAAACAACAGTATGAGCTTCTGCCCAGTTTCTTCACTGATGTCTGAGCGATGCATGCATGGGACCGGCACATAGCAGCACAGCCAGGACTTTGAAAACTGAACTGACCTTAGAGCCGTACCCACAGAAGAGACAGAATGTATGGTCTGAACCTAACTGGGCTGAGTGCCTGGTTTAAAAAAAAAAATCAACATCCTCTAGAGGATTTTAAAAAGTCCCAGAATCTTACAACATAATATTCAGGATATGCAAACAATCAAGAAAATGTGATCAATTTACAGGGAAAGGTAATCAACAGATGCCAATTCCAAGATGAGACAGATGTTAGAATATGAAAGTTATTTTTGTATTGAAATATAGTTGATATACAATCAATATTAGTTTCAGGTGTACAGCATAATGATTCAGTATTTTAATAGATTGTACTCCATTAAAAGTTATTAAAAGATAATGGCTATAATTCCCTATGTTATACAATATAGCCTTGTTGCTTATCTGTCTTATACACAGTAGTTTGCATCTTTTAATCCCATACCCCTAATTTTCCCCTCCCCCCTTCCCTTTCCCCTCTGGTAACCACGTTTGTTTTCAATATCTGTGAGTCTGTTTCTGTTTTGATATATATATTCGTTTGTATTATTTTTTAGATTCCACATATAAGTGATAATATAAAGTCTTTCTCTTTCTCTGTCTGACTGATTTCACTAAGCATAATATTCTCTAGGTCCATCCACATTGCTCCAAATAGCAAAATTTCATTCTTTTTTTATACCTGAGTAATATTCCACTGCATATATATACTACATCTTCTTTATCCATTTGTCTGTTAATGGATACTTAGGTTGCTTCCATGTCTTGGCTATTGTAAATAGTGCTGGTACGAACACTGGGGTGCATGTATATTTTTGAATTAGTGTTATTGTTTTTTCTGGATATATTCCCAGGAGTGGAATTGCTGGATCATATGGTAGTTCTATTTTAAATTTTTTGAGGGGCCTCTATATTGTTTTCCATAGTGCCTGCACTAATTTACATTCCCATCAACAGTGGATAAGTGTTCCCTTTTCTTCACATCCTCTCCAATATTTATTATTTGTAGACTTCTTGATGATAGCCATTCTGACACGTGTGAGGTGAAATCTCATTGAGAATTTGATTTGCATTTTCCTGATGATTACCAATGTTGAGCATATTTTCATGTGCCTGTTGGCCATCTGTATGTCTTCTTTGGGAAAATGTCTATTCAGGTCTTCTGCCCGTTCTTTTTTTTTTTTTTAACATCTTTATTGGAGTATAATTGCTTTACAATGATGTGTTAGTTTCTGCTTTATAACAAAGTGAATCAGATATACATATGTTCCCATATCTCTTCCCTCTTGCATCTCCCTCCCTCCCACCCTCCCTATCCCACCCCTCTAGGTGGTCACAAACCACCTTCTGCTCATTCTTTGATTGGTGGTTTCTTTTTTTTGTTTCTTAATATTGAGTTGGTGATCTGTTTATATATTTTGGATATTAACCGCTTGCTGGTCATATCAATTGCAATTATTTTCTCCCAGTCAGTAGGCTGTCTTTTCATTTTGCTAATGGTTTCCTTTGCTGTGCAAAAACTTTTACGTTTAATTAGGTTCCATTTGTTTGCTTTTACTTTTGTTTCTTTGGCCTTAGGAGACAGGTCTAAAAAATATTGCTATGATTTATTTCAAAGAGTGTTCTCATCTAGGAGTTTTATGGTTTCAGGTCTTACAATTAGCTCTTTAATCCATTTTGAGTTTATTTTTGTATATAGTGTGAGGAAATATTCGAATCTCATTCTTTTATATGTAGCTCTCCAGTTTTCCCAGCACCACTTATTGAAGAGATTGTCTTTTATCCATTGTATGTTCTTGCCCCCTTGCTCGTAGATTAATTGACCATAAGTGCATGGGTTTATTTCTGGGCTCTCTATTCTGTTCCATTGCTTTATGTGTCAGTTTTTGTGCCAGACCATACTGTTTTGATTACTGTGCTTTGTAGTATAGTCTGAACTCTGGGAGTATGATACCTCCAGATTTGTTCTTTTTTCTCAGGGTTGCTTTGGCAACTTTTGTGGTTCCGTATGGATTATCCATAATTATCCATAGGATTATCTGTTCTAGTTCTATGAAAAATGTCTGTAGATAGCTTTGAGTAGTATGGACATTTTAACAATATTAATTCTTCCAGTCCATGAACATGGCATACATTTCCATTTGTTTGTATCATCTTCAGTTTTCTCCATCAGTATCTTATAGTTTTCAGAGTATAGGTTTTTCACCTCCTTGGTTAAGTTCATTCCTAGTTATTTTATTCTTTTGATAAACAATTTTAAATAGAATTTTTTCTGCTGTCTCTTTCTGATAGTTCATTTGATAGTTCATAGTCATTAGTGTGTAGAAAAGCAACATAGGGACTTCCCAGGTGGGGCAGTGGTTGAGGGTCCGCCTGCCAGTGTGGGGGATGCGGGTTCAATCCCTGGTCTGGGAGGATCCTGCATGCTGCGGAGCGGCTGAGCCCGTGAGCCCTGGCTGCTGGGCCTGCGCTCTGGAGCCCACAGACTGCGACTACTGAGCCCATACATGCCTAGAGCCCATGCTCCATGGCGGGAGAGGCCACCGCAGTGAGAGGTGCACACACAGCAATGAAGAGTAGAGAGGGTCTGCGCATAGCAACGAGGACCCAATGCACCAAAACAAATAAATGAATTTAAAAAAAAAAAGAAAAGCAACATATTTCTGTATATTAATTTTGTATCCTGCAACTTTGCTGAACTCATTTATTAGTTCTAATAATATTGGGATGAAAACAGTTTTTCTTCTTCCCTTCCAATTTGGTTGCCTTTCATTTCTTTTTCTTGTATGATTGCTGTGGCTAGGACTTCCAATACTATATTAAATAAAAGTGGGAAGAGTGGATGTTGCTGTCTTGTTCCTGATTTTAGAGGAAAGGATTTCAGCTTTTCACCATTGAGTATAATGTTAGCTGGGGTTTTTCATAAATGGTGTTTATTATGTTGAGATATATTCCCTCTGTATCCACTTTGATGAGAGTTTTTATCATGAGTGGATGTTGAATTTTGTCAAATGCTTTTTTTGTGTGTCTAGTGAGATGATCATGTGGTTTTTATCCTTTCTTTTGTTAATGTGGTGTATCACATTGATTGATTTGCAGATATTGAACCATCCTTGCATCCCTGGAATAAATCCCATTTGATCATGGTGTGTGATCTTTTTTGTTGGATTTGGTTTGCTAATATTTTGTTGAGTATTTTTTGTTTATATTCATCAAAACATTAGCCTTTGATTTTCCTTTTTTGCAATGTCATTGTCTGGTTGTGGTATCAGGGTAATGGTGGCCTCATAGAATGAATTTGAGAGTGTTCTGTCCTCTTCAATTTTTTTTTTTTTTTTTGGTATAGTTTGAGAAGGATATGTATTAGTTCTTCTTTTTATATTTGGTAGAATTCTTCTGTGAAGCTGGTCAACCCTGGACTTTTGTTTGCTGGAAGTTTTTTAATTACAAGCTCAATTTCACTATTAGTGATCAAGCAGTTCAAATTGTCTGTTTCTTCTTGATTTAGTCTTGACAGGTTGTATGTTTCTAGAAATATATCCATTTCTTCTCGGCTGTCTAATTTGTTGTCATATAACTGATGGTAGTATCCTCTTATGATTTTTTGTATCTCTGTGGTATTGGTTGTAATTTCTCCTCTTTCATTTCTTATTTTGTTAATTTGTTCCTCTCTCTTTTATTCTTGGTGAGCCGGGCTAAAGGTTTATCAGTTTTGTTTATCTTTTCAAAGACCAGCTCTTGGTTTCATTGATATTTTCTATTGTTTTTTTGGATCTCTATTTTATTTACTTCTCTGATCTTTATTATTTCCTAGCTTCTGCTGACTTTTGGCTTTGCTTTTTCTTCCTTTTCTCATTATTTTAGATGGTAGGTTATGTTTTTTATTTGAGATTTTTTCTTGTTTCTTGGAGAAGGCCTGCATCACTATAAACTTCCCTCTTAGAACTGCTTTTGCTGTATCACATAGATTTGGAGTGTTGTGTTTCCATTTTCATTTGTCTGGAGGTATTTTCTGATGTCCTCTTTGAGTTCTTCATTAAGCATTGGATTTTTAGTAGCATGTTGTTTAGTTTCCATGTGTTTGTTCTTTTCCCATGTCTTTTTATGTAACTGATTTCTAGTTTCATACTGTTGTGTTCAGAAAAAATGTTTGATATAATTTCTGTCCTCTTAAATTTGTTGAGACGTTTTTGTCTACCATTTGATTTCTCCTGGAGAACATTCCATGTGCACTTGAAAACGATGTGTATTCTGCTGTTTTTGGATGTAATGTCCTGTAGCTGTCTATTAAGTACAACTGGTCTATTGTGTCATTTAAGACCACTGTTTTCTATTTGGCTAATCTGTCCATTGATGTAAGTGGAGTGTTAAAGTCCCCTAATATTATTATATATGTCAGTTTTCCTTTTCTGTTAGTGTTTGCTTTATATATTTAAGTGCTCCTTTATTGGGTTTAATGTGTTAATGAGTGTAATATCCTCTTTTTGTATTGATCATTATATTATGCCCTTCTTTGTCTTTGGTTTAGACTTTGTTTTAAAGTTTCTTTTGTTTGATATAATTATTGCTACCCCCTCTTTCTTCTCATTTCCATTTGCATGAAATATCTTTTTCTGTCCTCTTACTTTCAGTCTATGTGTGTCTTTAGCCTCAAAGTGATTCTCTTGTAGGCAGCATATTGAAGAGTCTTTTTAAAAATCCAGTCAGCCTCCCCATGTCTTTTGATTCAAGCATTTAGTCCATTGACATTTAAAGCTATTATTGATAAATATGTATTTATTGCCATTTTATTACTTGTTTTC